CCCCAAAACCCCAAAACCCCAAAACCCCAAAACCCCATCAGATAGTTATTATATTTTCATAGAATTTGAAAATTAAACTAAAATTAAAGCCAAACTTAATTGAAATGGCAACTCCATCAAATGTCATACATAATATCAGCTTATCCTAGAATTCAACTTTTCAATATAACCTGAATACTCCTCATCATCCTGGAGGCCTCCAAATTAGCGCAGATCTATCCTCTTTATCTATAAATCTTAACAGCAATGAATAGCATGTTGTTTCTCCACTTCTAATTGAATCTATGATTTATTAGTCTCTTGAGAAGCATAAAAAGGAAATATTTTTATATGCAAGAAAGGAGGTCCTCTACAATGAAAATCATAACTTACCCTAGAAATCTCAAAAAAGTTAATACAAAATTAGTGAATTTGATGCTCTTTATGACAATGAGTTGTATCAACCGAGTGACAATATATCATACCAACAAGTCTATATTCATGATGTAAGAATCTTTGTAAATTATTTTCTGCTTATAGTATGAAAAACTATTAACGAAAATAAGTGAGCAGCTGACATTGCAAGTAAATGATCTTGTTCAAAAAATGATTGAGAACATGTTTTAACTAAAAAAACAAAAAGAACTGGAGAAGAAGAGTGTCTCAGGCCGTGGATTATTGCACAAGACAGAAGATAGAAATCATACTTACTCAGACATTTATGAGCAAATGAAAAAATTTCAAATAAAATATGAAGAAAGCAAAAATATTATAGGCTAGATGAGGAAAAACTATCTGAAAGAAATATCTCATCTTCGAGCAGTTGAGGATGTAATGTTTACTAATAAAAAGCTATAAGAGTAGTAGAAAACACCTTAGGGTTCAAAGGCTCATACTTCAATAACATAAGGCCATATTTTCAAAGAACCGAGGGATACACACAAGGATCTGCTAGAAGTATATTTTTTTACTCCAACTGAAGGTCTAGATAATGACACATGTCAAATTTTCAACAAGTATTTTATGAAACTTAAGAACGACTTTGAAACCAGGCTTAATATTCTCAATAATGTCAATTAAGATTTGAGTTGGAAAGTTGCTCTAATAGATGAGTCCAAGAAAATATCTGAGATGAATAGTATGGAGCTTATTGAGATGGTCTTCACCAAAGAAAAGGATCAAGAAGTTATTTGGTAATAGATCAAAAGAAAATTTTAGATTGAAACATTAGAGTAGATTGCAGAAGATGAGTTTGCAGAGATTATCAATAAAATTACAGAAAAGGAAATTACCACTTAGGCGCTCAAAATTACAGAGGAGAGTAAATTTCAAATTTAGGATGCTAAGGACAAACTTCAAAAAGAAATCAGCTATCTGAGGTTATAAATTTCTTATAAGCAGGAGGAAATTGAGAAAATGAAAGAATTAAAGCTCCTAGACATTGACAGAGCTCGGTTCGAGTCATATGATAAAGCTGAAAGAAGATTCTTTGATAATCTAAGATTAAAGGAAGAAAAATTCCAAGAGGAAAGGGAGATGTGGAAAGAAAAGCTTGAAACAGCAGTAAAAGATGATATTCAAAAGTATAACTCATTATTCTTGAACATGGCTATGATGAAATGGAGATTTATAGTGGCGATATTCAAACTTAAAAATGGATCTGGAGATCTTAATGAAAGTATAGAGGAAACAATAAAAAAGGTTATGGACTCCTAGGTTAATAAATATGCTTAAAAACTTGAAAAATGTCAGGATATGAATAAAGTACTTGAGACTGAGAAGCAAATACTAAAAGATGAAATAGATAGACTTAAATATCAAATATCTTAGAGAGACGACAAAATAGATCTTTTATTGAATGAAGTGGTTAAGTACGGAGATGATAATATAAAACTGTAAAAAAAAGTTGAAGAATCTGGATAGTTCCAGAGAGGTCTTGAAGATTAATTAGAGCAAGGAAAGAGGTAATACGCAATAATGGAAGATTTAGTGCAATGCTTAGAGAAAGATAAAAATGCATTGGATTAAAAACTTGCCTTATAAGTAGCTAAGTCGAATGATCTACAGCTGCAGCTAAATCTTAATTTTAGAGATCAATCTGACTTTGAGACATTAGGAAACAATGTGACAACACCAGGCAAGAGTATGAGTACTATAGCTGCTACAGTTAAATTCAATAGCAAAGTATACGCCTCGAAAACTCTGAAAGCAATGATAGATGATAGATCATCTGCTCTTGGTAATATTTACTCCTCTATCTAGGTTAATGTAGCTACTGATACTTTTGATCTTATTGAGATAATGTCAGTTAAGACCTAATATAAGGAATCTCATTTCTTTACACTTGAGCAAGCAGAGGGATAAGATCTCATAGTTGAACAATAAAAAGAGATTAAATTTAATATGACAGAAAAGTCAATAGTATAATCAGATGAAGGAATTTAGACTGATGATAAATGGGTTTTTATTGACAAGGGTGAATATAAAGACTTGCTTGATACAAACGAAAGACTACTTGAACAAAATACAATGCTAAGTTAATAATAAAAGAAAGCTGAGACTATAGTTATACCTCTAGAAAACAAGCATGCTGTCTAGGATTCATTTGATTTAAATTGAGATTTGCCAGATGCTCACTAAGAACCTGCTAATTAGCTAGCTAAGAATAATACAAAGCCACTGATACTTTCTAAAGGAAAGCAACCAAGAATTCAATCAAGTAAAAGGCACAAAATCTTTCATCCTAATCAGAGTAATAGTAGTCTCCATAACCTGCCAAAGAACTTACTAGAAAAGAGGAATCCAATTAATATTGACATTGAGGATTAATTGGATGACATATCCTTGGATAACTCAGATATCTACTATTAAAATATCCAAAACTAAATTCAAGTTTCGGGAATGCCTTAAATGAATGATGAAGTTTTAAAAAAAGCAATGCACTATATTTAGAACAAGGAACTCAGACAATATAACCTTAGAACTCTTTAAAATCAAACAAATGTCTCATTAGATAAATTACCTTAAGTTTACAAAAGATTGTGGGATGATGTAGCTGCAAAGAATAAAAAGTCAAAAGAACTATAACTGCATTTTGATAAGATTAGATAATTAGAGTGGATAAAGCTATTATAGTCGAAGAATCATCTCAATCTAAAGGACAAAAAAAATCAAGAGAAGATCAAAGAAATATTTGAACTTATGCAAAATGATATCTTAATAAGAGGAGATAATCCTTAATAGAATCATAACTTCAATTAAGTCTAGCAAGTAAATCTAAATCAGGTAATCGATTTATTCAGTCAAGAATAAGAACAGCAGTATTAAAGTGCAATTAGGAAATGGGAGGCTTAATAACAATCTAAACTTTCAAAAAGCTATCAATTCAACTAGGCATCTGCTCCAGATATTGGTTCAGTCTACATTACAGAGTAGCCTTACATATAAAATATCTATCAGTAGGATCCACTTCAAAACTATGATGGCTAAATGACAGCGAATTTCTAATAATTGATTTGTGAGGATAAGATGTGCCAAACAGATTCTTATCTATTGGAATAATTCCTTTAAAAGATACCTAACTATTAAGTTAGAATGAACCAGTTCTTATATAATAAATAGAGTAACTTTTCACATTCTCATTCTAAAAATTCACTTTAACACTCGAGGTTCTAAACGACTGCTGATTTTACAAATGCTAATTCATCTGTCAATAATTCTATAACTCTGAATAACAATTATCAACAAGTAAATGACTCTTATCCAAATAGGAAAAAGCCTAATCTTTTTATGAATTCTAGGATCAGATAGGCTTCACATGCATCAAAGTAAAGAGGCATGCTCACTTAGGCTAATTCCCCTAAGCATAATTAGTAGTAAAATTATGGATTTTAATCAAACTCTGCTTTAATGATAGATAATAAGATTAGCGCTAACGGCTAAAGAAAAGTTATAAACAGCAATCCTCCAAGTAGAGCCTAGCAACTCCATAATTCAAAGAATCAAAGTGAAGTAGCCATTGGATTGGGTTTAGCTAAAGAAGTTAATATGATACCAACCTTATCGCCAAATGATAGAATTAAATCTCAATCAAACATAAATAATTTTGACATGCATTATTAGGCTTCAAGAGCTATTCCTCATAACAATTATTATACTAGTGGAGGTGCTTATGATGAACAAGCATAGTTTTAGAGTGCTAATTTTAGTATTATCAATTAGCCATTGATTTAGCACAGATAAAGTCATAGTTATTTAAATAATTCCAATTACGGGAATCCTAGAAGTGATTCTGATTATGCTCCTGATGATGATGTGATCTATAGAGCTGATAACAAAAATGGAACTCTGCTTTAAGATAATCTAAGTGACAAGATAAATATTTTAGAATCTGCCAAGAACTCATATGATGATTAAGATATACATAGGACTCAAAGTATTGGTCCAGTTAACGTTCCGAGATTACCAACTGTGATAGTAAATCCTTAAAAATAAGCTTGAAAAAAACATATGATTAATTTTATAAATTTTTTATAATTTCCTTAATCTCTTTAATACATAATAATGCGGGGTTTTGGGGTTTTGGGGAGATCGGAAGAGCGTCG